GAAATGTCCTGATGACACATCATCTTTCCTGTAGCAGGTGCTCAACTTCCTTGATTGTAAGGGCCCAAATCTGGATCAGGATTAGAACAGGATGCAATCTCACATCTGACTTTAATTTCAAACTGTTGATAACATCTGCTTAGGTAGCCTGTCTAGCTTTTTCCTAGAACTGAAAAGAATCATCTTCAATTGCTTGCTCTCTCAAAAAACTTCACTAACTAAACCATTTCACAAGTTAATTATGAAATTAAAATGAAAGGCAAGATCAAAATACTGTCTGTCAAAAGATTACTGAAGGAAAGCTGGTATATAAAAATATATTTATATATTATATAAATGCAATAAATAAAAGACATAACTTACTGCAATAAAATCAAGACTACCTCTCTGGGCATCGTTATGATAAACAGGTTCCAAGAATGGAAAATCAATAAAAGAGTTGGAAGAGACCTTGGAGGTATTCTAGCCCAAACCCTTGCCCAAGCAGGAGACTCTATACGATTTCAGACAAATGATTGTCCAATCTCTGCTTAAAAACCTCCAGTAATGGAGCATCCACAACTTCTGAAAGCAAGCCATTCCACTGATTAATTGTTCTAATTGTCAGGAAATTCCTCCTTAATTCTAGGATCGCTTCTTGATTGGTTTCCATTCATTGTTTCTTGTTCTGCCTTCAGGTGCTTTGGAGAAACCCCCCTCGTTGTAGCAGACTGTTAGATATTGAAAACCTGCTATCATGTCACCCCAGTCCTTCTTTTCATTAAACTAAACATACCAGGGCTCCTCCTGTCCCCTAAGCATCTTTGTTGCTCTTCTGCACTCTTTCTAGAATCTCAACATTCTTTTTTACAAATGGTAATCTGGGTGCAATATTACAAGTGTGATACTAACACTTAATGTGACCTTAGTTCTATCCCTCTGTTAATACCTTCTCTACAAAGTACAGACTCTGACCAGAAAAACTACATCAAATATCAGAAAAGTATGCATAAACATTTCAGTTCTTTAGAACTCTTTATCAGACACAGTATTACAAAAAATGGGTAGGAGAAATACAACTGAAATTGAATATGGCTGCATGTTAAAAGATATGATGAACAGTTCTGGGGAACTCAAAAGCTTGAATATACCTTTGTGTTAATTTAATTAGTGTTAACAAAGTGATTTTAATTATCCAGTTATGAGTTCTGTTTACCATCCTGTCTTGTTTCCATTGGTCAATATGATTCAAGTACTTTTTTCAGTCATTGAAGAGTTATTTGGAGAAGGGCAAATGAAGGCAGGAAATAAAAGCTTTTCAGAAATGTAATTAATATCCCTTAGTAGAACTCATTTTCAGATAATGAATTTACCATGTGTTAATGTATATTACGACATTAATAATATCTCCATTTTTACACATATACTTATTTATATTTATATAGCTGCTATGTCACAACGATGACAGTACACAAAGGCAGTACACGAGAGGTTGGAACCAAAAAAAATAAATTATCAATAAATGTCTAAAATAATATGCCTGGGATCTAAAAATTGTTCTATTTTAGTCAGTGAAGTCAATGAAGTAGTTAGGATTGGTTTAAACTTCCTGAGGGAATATCCAGATCTTTGATGCCCTATGAAATGCCAACAGGATTGGGTCATCCAAATCATCAGGGAACATTTCAATGCGGCAGGCATGCGACAGAGAAGGCAGATTTGTTTAATAGAGAAATGCAATATATTTACATTGTACCTACTGAAAGGAATATGGTATATTTGGGTGAGGAATAGATTATATAACCTCCTAAATATTTAATTGGTCGAAGCTTCTTAGAGAGTAGCTTAATTTCATGTAATTGCCAGTGTTATAAGATTAACATTTAAGCAGCTGTTTGAAGATGTATTCATCTACTAACTTGCTTTAATTTTAATAATAGAAGGTAGATACAGATTATTATCTTTTTTTGTGTAATTAATTTGTGCACTCTTGCAAGCAATGGTGAATTTTGCATGTTGTTCTAAACTGAACCAACAATTGAATTCTTCCATAATGCAATTCATACTTTCATTACTGTATGTCGGCAACAAGTCGTATATGTTTAAAAAGGTAGTTATTATCTTATCTGAAAATTAACATTTTTATATAGAGAAATACTGGTAATATTCACAAAAAATATGACTTTATAGTAACTGAACAGCAAGTCTGAATAATGTAGCATATATATTACTGAAATCTTATCTGAATAAGAAAGATTTTTAATCAGAACCACTCTGCATAAATTCAGTGAAATTGCTTATACAAGACAAGACTTGAAACAGACATTGGGGTTGATTATGGTTAGGATCTTGCAACTTAGTCAGAACTTATCAAAACCCACAATCCTAGTCCAGCTTAAAAAATATACTTCTCTGGATGCCCACACAGACTTGGTTGAGTAGCAAATAAGTTACCCAGTCATTTTGTTTAAGTGTCTAATCTCTACACCAGTTCTGAGGAAAGAGCCTTATCATAATCACCAAACAATATGCTAAGCAAAAACACATGAAGCAGCTAAGGGAAAGTGTGCAGAGGTCTTTATTAAATAGAAAACAGGTGCTGTAGTTGTCAGCCTTATAATGCCCCATTTACCCTCAAGTCAAAAGGTTACTGAACTAATAGTTGCCTTGTGGTAATCGAGGAAAACTAAGTTACTCTGTGTGGCTAGACATCTGGGACATATTTTATATCCTTGCAATATATGCTTCAGTTTCAATTAAAGTGAGGCTTTGGCACATTTATTAATTTTTTTATGTTTATTCTATGGGACCCACTGACCTCACTTTACTATTTTACCAAATGACAAAACAGAACAATACTGAGAGCTAGAGATCAACATCGGTCACCATAGCAGAATTTACATTTGTTTTCTCTCAAAACTCAAATTATATATTCATTTAAAATGGAAGTAGTTAGTAAATCACTTATGATTTAATCTAATTTACACTATGCAGAAAACACTCAACTGAGAAAAATATCTTTAAAATATGCTTTGAAAAACAGCCCACTGCCAAAAAATTCTTTATAAATCTTTCCATTAAATATTGGGCTACATATCTATGGGCATACAGTCATTTTACATAGAAATTATTCATTAACATTTAGTTTCTATATTAAAAATGTACCATTTAATGTAGATACTTAATCACCCATATTCATTTGGCATCAATAGTTCAATTTAAAAATGTTTGGAATTTTATAAAGTGATTCAGATGGCCAGTATTAAGTATTGATATAGTTCAAAACAGTTTTTATTTATAAAATTATTATTACTGTCCTCATTTTTTATACAGACAGTGAAAGATTGATTTATTATTTAGTAATCAAATAAGATAAGTCCTTTAAATACTATCAGGATTTTCTTAAGCAAAAGTAAATTAAGAATACACACACATATACACATGCACACTTACATACAAATACATGTACACATATAAATATTAATCAGACAGAAGAGTACGTAGTCTAATTTAAAGAGATTTTAGTTATAAACTTTTCTAAAAATACAAAACATTGATAATGAAATATGCTTAAATCCTAAAAAATCCTCCTAAATTGATAGCAGACCCACATTTATCAGAGGAAAATGTTTTTGTGTTAAAGCTCACTATGCTATACGGTTGACCTTCATGATAAATCATGTGTTGTACTGCTAAGTATTTTGTAATGAAAACAGCACATATGGCTTTGCATGGAAGAAATTTAGGTGTGACATTATTTCATGATTGCAGCTGTTATCAAAATCATTAAAATGCATAGAGAAAAAACTATCATCATGTATTTGCTAAATGTGAAATAATAAAGATATTCAGAGGTTCATCTTTCAAAACACCTACCTTAATTGTTCAGAGTAAACTAATCACAGTAAATTTTCCTACATGTCAAATGTTTTCTGGCTGCCAGCCTAAAATTCCTGTAGTGATATAGAACTGTATGTCTCTACTAGCAACAAAGGTCAAAGGCATATATTAAGATACAAGGTTTTTTTTCCACTGCTCTTCAAAAAACCGTTGATGGTTTATTAAAAGCGTACGTGAACATTTATGAAGGTCAGCATTTTCTGCATTTAAATTGAACACGTTAGAATAATCTGAATATTTCACTCCCTCAGTATCTTCATTTTAAAAGTTCTTAAAAGACATTTATCTTGCTGCACTTTTTCCCCCCATAAGCCAGCCCTGCCAACTAACATCACGGGTCTCTTTCTTACAAGGTCATTCTAATTTCCTCTCTATGCCTCTTCCTTCTTCTCCAGGGACAGCCTTGCAGTCCCATTGCTTGCTTCAATAACCAGTATTAACTAGCTGTTATTTACTGTGGTGGAAATTCTCAGCCCAAACAGCAACCTAGGAACTGAGCAACATTCTCAACATCTGAAAGAGCAACCAGTCCCTTAGACTGATGCTGGGCCACACAATGCCAATCTCGAATCTATCGATAAGAGGGAGAAGAGAATTGTGATTATTTAAATATCTTACAGAGTGCAACACGCATCAAAACACTCTTCTACCAAGTAATTCTCAGAAAATTACAGATGGCAATAGACCACCTTCAAACAGTATGGTGTTTCTATTTTTACAACACTCCTCCCACCTGGAAGTACAGCCCTATTTGAAATACTCCAGAGAGGACAAATTTTTGTCCTTCAAAAACAATTGTCACTGCACTTTTCTTCACAACAGCTATCAAGTTCCAGACAAGCTGAAATATATTTGTTCTTGAAAGAAAGGTAAAAAAAAAATGGTCCAGCTTTGGACAAAAACATGATGTGGTGGGGGAGGAAGGGAGGGAGGGAAAGGGATGGAAAGGTTTATAGATCGCTATACCTTCTATAACACACACACACACACCATGGCATTGTTAAGATGATAAACAGCTCTGCACTACAAAACACTCATGTTCCTTTTTAACTGTCTGTAAGAGGAGTGTTGTGTCTACTTTCTCCCATCCCTAGGTACCAGGTGCCAGGAAAGATAATTACCTTGTCATCTCTGTCATCCTCTTCTTCCTCGTCCTCTAACATGTCCTCCACTACCTGCAGGCATAAAGAGTAGCAATCATCAAGAGCTTAAAAGGAAATATTTGTTTCTTTAACCATTTTGCAGTTTAAAGTTTTTTTTAATGTGCAAAAAAATGTACAACATTTGGTTGATTTAGAAACAAAGCTATTACCAAGCATATACAAAAGTAAAGAGCTCCATTTTTAACCCTCCTATGTACTCTGACTGCAACCAACTGGTTAGGTCAAAGAATGTCAAATTGTAACTGTAATTACTCCAAAATAATTTAATCTTTGTTCAAATTAAACACAATCCCGACTAGGTACTTTACAATCTATGATTAATCAAAAGCAGAGAAGAATTTGAGAGCTTCTAAACTCCTCAACCTGGCTGTACAAAAAGAGGTAAGCAGAAGTTTAGAAGTTCACTTCTCCTTAATTCTTTTTTCTTTTTAGTTTTTCAGGAATACAATTAACGTTGCAAAAAATGGTGAAACAATTCATGAGCTCATGCTTCAAAACCTCAGCCTTTTGTATCTGCATTAATGCAGGATACAAATATATGAATCATAGGATTGTATCATGACATTTTGTTGTTTACTGCTGCCTTTCCTCTCTATCAGTGGTGGGTTTCAAAAATTTTTAGAACCTCTTCTGTAGGTGTGGCCTGCTTTGTGGGAGTGGCTTGCCAGCCATGTGCCCAGGTGGAAGTGGCCAACTTGTAAAATGTGATAAAACTCACTTAACGCTCTTGCTTAGCAACCAAAATGTTGGCTCAGAAACTCTGGCATGTGAAGCATGCAAGTCTTAAAGCTTTCAAGTTACAAGGCCCTTGCCCCCCTAACCCTTTAGAAAAAAAAAAGCCAG